ATATAGAAAACTATACGGCATAGGGCTTATTTTATTATTAATATAGGCCACACACGTGTGTTTGAAACTTAATATAAGCATTTTCATCGTGGTTTTATTTATCACAATCATAGGCCTATTCTTTCACCATCATTACACATTGAGGCCCTTCTTTTAGGGAAAAACGATCTATCTTAAATTTTCTTTCTCAAGTTCGGGACTATTAGGTTTTTAAATAACTTAGAAGGTAAAGAAGGGCAAGCACAAGCTTTAACACTAACAAATGCGCGCGAAGCGCGCGAAAATGTTTGTGTTTTTAATTTAATTTCGTCGGAATTGATCAAAACTCCCTAAATGTGCAATTTTAGAGGAAATTGGCCTACCTCAACAAGAAATGCTCTTATGTTATATATGGCTACACTCTTTTTTTTAAACTGAATATAAACATTTTCCTTATGGCTTTATTTATTACAAACATATCCTTTCACAGGGCCGGCAGAACGTTTTTCAAAGTGGGGGGTCCCTTATGTTGGGTCGGGGGGGGGGGAGGCAAAGGTAATAATTTTCCCGGTTAGTAATTTAAGACTTGGTGTGATACCCCCCCCCCCCCCCCCCTATAAAAAAAATTATCATATAGAAAACAATACGACATAGGGCTTATTTTATTATTAATATAGGCCACACACGTGTGTTTGAGACTTAATATAAGCATTTTCATCGTGGTTTTATTTATTACAATCATAGGCCTATTCTTTCACCATCATTACACATTGAGGCCCTTCTTTTAGGTAAAACGATCTATCTTAAATTTTCTTTCTCAAGTTAGGGACTATTAGGTTTTTAAATAACTTAGAAGGTAAAGAAGGGCAAGCACAAGCTTTAACACTATCAAATGCGCACGAAGCGCGCGAAAAATGTTTGTGTTTTTAATTCTAATTTCGTCGGAATTGATCAAAACTCCCTAAAATGTGCAATTTTTAGAGGAAATTGGCCTACCTCAACAAGAAATGCTCTTATAGTCCAGTCCGAAATGTAGCAATATCAGAGGTTGCATTTTTTTTTGCTATATTTGTTAAAAATTGGATATGATGTAGAGTAGACATTGATAAATCAAAAAAGTATGTGCAACATTTTTTTTT